GGGAGACTGTAGTCTCCAAGAAAACAGTGAAGATGCTGAAGCAGCTTGAGGGTGTTTCGGGTGTGAAGTGGAAGTCTCCCACAGAGCCAGTGATAGATCTCAAAGCACTACCTGCAATACGAGCATCCAATTCTAAGCAACTCCTTAACCAAGCTGGCACTTCGAAGTCTGGGAAGGTGAAATCCTCGAAGAAGAAGACCAAGTTAAAGAAGCCTAAGGAGAAAAAGACAGCAACCCAAAGGGTTATTGATAGTTTAGATGAATACTATCAGACTGTCAGACGCCCCATTAAGCTTGCTGATTTTATGGCAAAACTCAAAATTGAAGAAGAACAAGAAGCTGATGAAGATATACTTCCCGTGGAAACTTGTCGAGTTATATCAACAACACCGGTAACTCGGGCCAAAAAGGAAAAAGAAGCTCCCTCTGAGTCTTGTATGATGGTATCACCAATGGACTATAGTGTACAAGAGGATTTATATTTTTAAGAAGATGAGGAATCAGAGCCTGATATCACTTCGCAGATGGAACAGGTGAATTTGGGCAACAGCTCTGAATCAACAGACGAATCTCCTAAGGAGGTAATGATTGATTCTGAAGATAATGCACCGTTAAATGAGTCTGAACAGGAAGAAATTGCCCAAGTGCAATTGAGGAGTGGTAAAACACTACCGTCTCCACCAAAGAAAGGAATCCCTTATAAAGACAAAGTGAAGGAGATTGTTGTTAATGAAGATATCATTCCTAAGGACTCCAAGAAAAAGGATACTCCAGCTAATGGGGTAGATTACAATATCCTATTCCATTTGAGAAAAATCCCAGCACAGCTTAGCATATACGATGCTCTAGTGATGTCCAAAGATCTTCGGGAGACCCTGATTCAGGCTCTCAGGAACCCTGAAAGATATGAGGCTTATTTTATTGAGCGTAACTTGCCTGAAGTCTTGTAAGCTCTGAATGAGCCAATCATTACTTTTACCGATGATGATATGATGCTTGGAATGGCAGACCATAATCTTCCTTTATATGTCACTGCAGAAAGTGATGGGATGATAATCAGTCGAATTTTGATAGATCCCGCATTCTCCATCAACCTTATGAGCTTGAAAGCTCTGAGATCTCTTTGTCTCGATGTACAGCACCTTGGGCAAGACAAATTGATGGTGCACAATTTCAATGAAAAGGGGCAGAAGACCCTTGGATCATTCATGCTCCCTCTAGTATTTGGAGAACTTCATACCGAGGCAAAATTTAATGAGATTGATGCGGATACCTCATTTAAGGCCCTTCTGGGTCGCCCGTGGTTGCACGATTATGGCATTGTCCCATCAACACTACATCAATGTATGAAGTACATCATAGATGGAGAGGAGTTCAGAATCTCTGGTGATATTAAGCCCTTTACAATTCACGGGGTAAAAATTTATGAAGATGCTAGATACTTCATCCCCAAGGAATCAAAGCCGTCAAGTTCTCTCGAGACTAAGGCAGCAAACCCAAAGGCTGCAAGACGGCGCAAATAAGAAGATGAGAAGAAGCGGGTGTGATGAAAGAAGGCAATGCCGAATCTTCCTAAAATAGAAATCACTCCTAAATCAAAAAAACATGTGCCTCATCTAGGGAGTGACACAGATGAAGATGATGTCATTCCTATTAAATCTCAAGAGATACGACAATCAACAGCAATGGGGAAAAAGAAGGCAAGATATTCAGATGATGACTATCACTATGAGTCTATTTATATGAATAATGTGCAACATGTACTTTCAAAGAGGATAGATAATCTCTCAATTTCAGATAATGAATGTGTGGTCACGCATATTCCCCCGCAACATTTCAAAGAAATTGCTCCTCGAGAGGTGCATAATGTCGAGGAGCTTATAATATTTTATGTGCCTCCTCAAAGAAATAAGGGTGGATCAGGAACCCTATTTTATAAATCTAGAGAGCGTGGGGATGAAGAGAATCAAGATTGGCTCTACAAGCCCACTGAACGTAGGGAGTTAGTGCCTACAAGAATGCCCAGATTTATTACTAAAAACATACGGAGGATGTTGCAAAAACAAGTCAGAATTCGCACCCCTAAGCAACAACTTCACCTTTGCTTGAAGCTTTGGTATCGAAGAAATCCCCATATGTTACGAAGAAAAGATATTTTCGCTAGAAGAGGTCTCGGATTTGTTGTGCAAAGACATTCCCAAGGGGAGACGTGTCGTGCCATTACATGCAGGGAAATTGAATCTGATGATAATAATACTGAAGAGGTTTATGAAGCTGACGATTGTGAGGATCAGCCCGTAGAGCCTAAGCCTGCACCTGAAGAACTTGAAGATGGTGGACAAGCAGCCACTATGCATGAGTTAAGGGAGATAAATCTGGGAACTGAGGAGGACCCTCGCCCGACCTTCATTAGCTCCCTACTACCAGAAGACCAAATGGAAGAAATGAAAGAGCTACTTTGTGAATTCAGGGATTGCTTTGCCTGGACATATGCTGAGATGCCAGGCTTATCCCCTGATGTGGCAGTTCACAGGTTGGCCATCAAGAATGAGGCGGTGCCTGTCAAGCAAGCTCCAAGGAGAATGAGATTGGAGATAGAAGAACAGGTGATTGTCGAAACCAAGAAGCTCATAGAGGCAGGCTTCATCCGAGAAGAAAAATATGCTGACGGGATTGCCAATATCGTACCGGTAAAGAAGAAGAATGGTTAAATTCATATCTGCATCGACTTCCGGGACCTTAGGCATGCCCAAAGATGACTTTCCGCTTCCTATGTCCGAACTCTTAGTGGACAATACATCAAATTTTGATATGTTCTCATTTATGGATGGATTGTTGGGCTACAATCAGATCAAGATGGCACCTGAAGATGAGAAGCATATAGCATTTAGAACGCCCATCGGCATATTCTGCTACGCGGTCATGCCCTTTGGCCTGAAAAATGCTGGTGCCACCTACCAACGGGCGATGACTCACATATTTGATGATTTGATACATCAAAAGGTCGAGTGCTATGTGGATGACCTTATTATTAAAAGCCATGGCCAAAAAGATCACTTAAAAGATCTCAGAATTGTATTTGAGAAAATTAAAAAGTTTGATCTGAAGATGAATCCTCTCAAATGTGCTTTTGGGGTCTCTTCTGGCAAATTTTTGGTTTATGTTGTTCGACATCGAGGCATCGAGGTCGAACCCAATAAAATTAAAGCAATCACGGAGATGCCACCCCCGAGGAACCTGCGATAACTCCGCACCTTGCAAGGACAACTGGCTTTTATTCGCCGATTTATATCAAATCTGTCGGGAAGGTGCCAGCCATTTTCCAAGCTTATGAAAAAAGATGTTCGCTTCAGATGGGATGCTGAATGTCAGGAAGCGTTTGATAACATCAAAAGATACTTGTTGAATCCGCCCATTCTTGCAGCGCCAATCCCGGGGAAGCCTCTTATACTATACACGGCAGCATTAGAAGAGTCCCTCGGAGCATTATTGACCCAACATAATGAAAAAGGAAAAGAAAATGCACTTTATTACATCAGTCGGAGGTTGATTGGAGCAGAGATCCACTATTCTCCAATTGAGAAGCATTGCCTAGCGTTGATTTTTGCAGTTCAGAAACTTCGCCACTATATGCTGTCTCACAAAATCACACTAAAATCAAAGATCGATTCGCTGAAGTTCTTGATGACAAGACCAGTGTTGATAGGTCGCCTGGCCAGATGAGCAGTATTATTATTGCAGTTTGATATCACGTACCTACCACAAAAGGCTGTGAAAGGACAAGCATTGGCAGATTTTCTCGCTGCACATCCTATCCCGGCAGACTCTCCTCTTAATGATGACTTGCCCGACGAACAGATCATGCAAGTTGAGGAAAATGAGAAAGTACCATTTTGGGACATGTATTTTGATGGAGCATCATCAGTTAAAGCTGCCCGACCTCCAAATCTTGCTAGAGCCCAAGCTGGCATTGGCCTAGTTTTCATCGCACCAGAAGGAGGCATAATGAGATTTTCATTCAGTCTAACTGAATCCTGAACCAATAATGAAGCTGAGTATGAAGCTTTAATCGTGGGACTGGAGATCGCAATTGATGTCAGAATTCAAAATCTTTGAATTTTTGGTGACTCTCAACTTGTAATAAATCAAGTCTTGGGGGTTTATAAAATTTGCAAGCTTGAGTTGGCTCATTACCACCGACGAACCCTTGAGCTCTTGAAACAGTTACCAAATGTTGAATTAGCTCGAGTTCCTCGATGGTAGAATGGAAAAGCAGATTGTTTAGCCAAATTGGCCTAGGAGATGGCAAATACTAATGAAGAGAAGCCTATATTCATCGGGGTTTATAATCATCGAATCTTAGAGCCTGCTCTATTACAATTACCAATGGCAGAAAAGATATCAAATCCAAGCAAGCAGGATATAATTACAGTTGAGCCTCAACCCCTCCATCAGATTGTTATGGAAAATTATCCGGAAGAATATCATGTGACTAAGAGATGTAAAGCTAGTCAAGTTTCAGAATCATGGTGGCATTATTTAGATATTGAAGTCAAAAATGATTGGAGGCAGCTATTCATTGACTACTTCAAAGAAAATAAACTCCCGACAAAAAAATCTATGGCCGCACAAATTCGGAAAAGGGCACTGCGATATGCTTTTATCAATGGCACGTTGTACCGACGGGCTTTTAACCAAATATGGCTAAGGTGCCTAGGGACCAAGGAAGTTGATAAAGTAGTGACAGAAGTCCATGAAGGGCTTTATGGTGCACATCAGTCAGGTCCTAAAATGGCCGCTAAAATTAAGAGGATGGGTTATTATTGGCCAACAATAGTGACAAATTATTTTAACCACGCTAAGAGGTGCCATGAGTGTCAGATTCATGGTGATGTTATTCATCAGCCACCAAATCCACTGCACCCAACAATAACTTCCTGGCCATTCGAATGCTGGGGAATAGACATAATTGGGCCGATATATCCGCCATCATCAGCGGGACACCATTTCACTGGCAGTAACATATTACTTTTCCAAGTGGGCAGAAGCAGCTCCATTCAAAGAAGTCACGTCCGAGCATGTGATTAACTTCTTCACCCATAATATCGTCTACAGATTTGGTGTACCGCGCCATGTGATCTTAGACAACGGCGCAGCGTTTAAAAGCACTAAAATATACAAGTTTGTCGAGCGTCACAAGATCGATTGGCGATACTCATCAATATATAATCCAAGGGCCAATGGCTTGGCGGAGGCTTTTAACAAGACACTGGTAAAACTGTTAAAGAAGATCCTCGCCAATAATAAAAGAGAGTGGCACACTAAAATGGTGGAGGCACTATGGGCATATCATACTACTTACAAGACGCTGACTAAAGCCACTCCCTACTCACTGGTGTTTGGGATCGAAGCTGTATTGCCATTAGAAATTGTGCTACTGTCACTCCGTGTAGCTATCCAGTATGACCTAACTTAGGAGAAAAAAGCCCGATTGAGAATGGAAGAACTCGATGCGCTCGATGAAGTCAGACTACAAGCTCAATAGAACCTAGAAATCTATCAGGAAAGGATGACGAAGTCATTTGACCAGATGGTACGTCATCGAGCATTTCAAGAAGGGGAATTAGTCTTGGTGCTGAGAAGGCCAATCATCCCATATCAAAAAATTGGTGGAAAATTTGTGTCCAATTGGGAAGGCCCATTCGTCATTGAGAAGGTGTACCTAGGAGGAGCTTATCAATTGTTTGACCTGGAGGGTCAAAGGCCTATACCCCCAATTAACGGTCGATACTTGAAGAAGTATCATACATATGAACCAACATATATTTAAAATTCTGTTGTGTATCTAACAAATACCCGCTAGCAAATGTATAATATATATATTTCAAAATTCTCTTGTGACACAAGAATGCATTTAAAAAAAAGGCAATTTAAATATTTATTCGAGTCGACATCGCGCTGCGTGCCGAGATCCCCGAATAAATATTTAACACTTCGGAATGTCAATTTTGCAAAAAAAACAAAAATTGGAGCATTTTAAATATTTATTTGGGTCGACATCGCGCTGCGTGCCGAGATCCCCGAATAAATATTTAAAACTCTCAAATATCAGTCATGAAAAAAAGAAAGAAAGAATACTTTTATATATTTATTCGGGTCGACATCGCACTGCGTGCTGAGATTCCCGAATAAATATTTAGAATCATCGACTACGAACATCCCTTTAAATTAGTATGTGATAACTTTTATCATCAGTATATATGTGGATGATTTTTCCTGAGGTTCGGGACATCTCTCCTTCTAGTGTACTAAGGTTTCTAAAGTCAAAAGATAGACTTTTGTGATTATGCACTTCAATAAATTGAGCCAGAAAAACTTGAAGTCTTTGAACAGTCTGAAGCTTAAGTTTCGAATGGGTCTAAGAGGTCGGATCCAACACGCCCAAATATGGCAGGATCGCTGGCAACTCCGTCTACTCAACACGCCATAAGAAAGGCCGAAGTAGCGGAACCCCCACTTCGTCAACCCATCAGTAAGGACTGCAGGAAGAATGAAAGTTGATTTGATTCAACGAGTTCTAGGGGTCATAGTTTACAAGACTCTCCTAATTGACCAGAGAATCAAAATTCCAGTGGAAAAGAGCAGTCTTGAACACCTACCAAATATACGTAGATTCCAAATTTTCAACCACAAAGGATGACTTCAAATCTACTAATTTCAGAAGAGTCAGTATTGGGGAGCATATTTCCCATAGCTCGAGTCTGAAGTCTGAATGGGTGTAAAAGGTCGGATCCAACATGCCCAAATATGGCCGGATCGCTGACAATTCTGTCTACTCAACACGCCATAAGAAAGGCCGCAGTAGAGGGACCCCCGTTTCAGCAACTAGAGGACAAAGAGCTAGTAAATTCTAGCTCTAATAATATGATAAACTCAAGTGACTCAAATTAAAAGTCCTCTCAAGTGATTAAGGATTAAGATACTGTCTACATTTGATATTATCAACTGAATCTAAGAATCTATAAATCATTTCGTCAAGTCCATCGCACAAAGCATAGGACAGAAGGAGCCAAATTTTTTGGAATTTGAGCTAAATCTAATGGCTACTGATTTCGACTAGTGGCTGAAGCGACATTGCTCACAACTATCCTCAAAGGCTGGGGGCATTTTAAATATTTATTTGGGTCGACATCGCACTACATACCGAGATCTTAAAATAAATATTTAAAATCCCCAGTAATACCAACAACATAAGTTCAAAACTCAAGCTCGGAGTACAGCTCTAGCGCACGACGCAATACAGCCTAGAGTTAAAAAAAAAATACTGAAAAGAAAGTTCTCCATATATATAATAATCATCATGAGGTACAAGTACATGGAGACTCAAGTCACTACAAAAAATACAGACCAAAACAACAACGAACGAGAACGTGTCAGAAAAGGCGAGCCCGTAAATTCTCCAGCCTGTCAGTGATCATAGCTAAAGTCTGAAACTCTGACTGAGCGACCTAAAACTGCTCTACGACACGTGCTAGTGAAGCGTCTACATCCAACACCTCCTGCTGCAAAGTTCTCTGACGCTGCTCCTCCCTCCTAATGAGACAATCTCGTTGTCTACGTCTGTCCTGTATGTGAAGCCTCTGAGACATCGCCTGCATGATGTCCCTCCACATGTTCCACATACGGGTTGTCACCCCGTCTTCCTCCCTAGTCATGTAAGAAGTACTATGACGGTGTCTCCTCAGGATCTCTACACTACGATCATGTAGGTCGTGAGCACCATCAGCCCTCGCTCTGTAGCTGACACCATCCCCTCTATCTCTGGAAGTGTAGCTGTAGACTGGATGATCGAGAGGGAGCTTACTTGCCAAATGCAGGACTCTGCCACGCGGCACACCGCCTCCCAAAAAGTAGCTCAGTGGTGCTCACCCCATACTTGGCAAGTAGGCCAAGAAGCTGGTTGGCAGTAGAAGAAAAGTCGCGCCAAGATTCCGGAGACCTGGGGTCAATACTAAAAACTAACGTCCTCAGAGGCAGCACCAAATCACTACACATCTTAGTACTCATGGAGGTCGGAGGTAGAGGAACTATGCATTCTATCTCTGAAGTATAATCATATCCCGTAGGAATTGCACAAAAGATTAGAAGTAATTAATATGAATAAAATATTATAATAATGCATTTAAAATAAATTGACTTATAATAAATACGTACCTGTGGAGGGACCCACAGAGTCGGCTAAGTAACTGGCTGGAGCTGAAGAGGGACCCGCAAGGTCGACTGGGTAGCTGGCTGATGCAGAAGAAGGTTCTACAAGGTCAGTCGAGTAGCTGACAGGGACAAGAGAAGAGCTCGCAAAGTAAGTCGGGTGGCCATCAGGGAAGAAGGAGAACTCCGTGGGCACCAAGCCTAACGGTAGCAGTGTGTGGAGGCTCTCCAAAGAACTCTGAAAGCAGAGTGGCGCCGGTACCAGAAGACTCGCCCGGCCAGAATGACCCGTAGGGGTCTACTGGGAAAGAGAAGTCGACATAAGGGTCTAGTGTACTGTATCCCGTGAAGTCTGACCTTTTGGGCTCTTGTGCATCCTCCCCAAGATCCCTAGGAGAGGGGCGAGCGTCTACGGACCTCCTAGAAGTGGTAACAAGCTGAGAGCTGGCCCGCCGGCGAGAAGACCGGGAAGACTCTGCCTAAGGTGGCACAGGTGCCACGTCTGGAACTCTGGCAGGAGAAGGAACAACGTCTGTAGAAGTGGCACGAGCCTCAGTGTGTGTCCCTGTACCAAAGAAATGTATATCAAATGATCAAATATCTATCAAACTAAATGCTGACAAGAAGAAAAGAGGAGAAGATATAGGGTAGTACCTCTGTCACCAGCAACCTCTGGAAGACTCCGACAGGACCTACATCCCCTCGATCACCCAAGCTCCTGTACCTGATGCTCGTACCTCCTAGCACCGTGCTCCAAAGAAAGTCCGAAAGACAATCGTACCCATGACAGTCGGGTGTAACTGACTCCTGTTTGAGCAGACGGCTGGGCTAAAAGAAAATTGGAACCTGTCCCCAGCCTCATTAAGTGCGCCCAAGTCACAGCGGCAACGTAAAAATGAGTCTCTAGCAGAACTGTCCCCATGTGTAGTACATATGTAACCTCTGGGAGGAGTACCCGCCCGTCGTAGGCTGTAGCCTATGAAAATCCAAACTGCCTGGCCACCCTGTTGGGATGGTAGAACTCCAACGTCACAAAGCCACCCTGACGGTAACACAACCACCCTGGACGCATGCTTATGAAGTACTCAGCAACTGCCAAACTCTGACTACGGAGCAAAAGTGTACGTCTACCTCTATGATCAACTCCGTCAACTAGAACTATACCCCTCTAGCGGGGTGGCAAGCTAACTGTGTCTGGTTGGTGTACCAAGGAAAACCGGTCTGAGACTGACTGCGGAGCAAAGAAGAACAACCTAATCCTCTCCGACTCAAAAGTAGAAGATGCCTGAAAGAGCTATAAAATAGTAGGGAACCCTCTCTACAGAAAGTAGGTCGGAGTCTCTAAATAGGAAAAGGCTCCCTGGACGTGCAAGTGAATCTAGGCATACAAGTACTGTCATGGAAAAGCTGAATCACGTACATCCAAAAAGCCAGCCTCAGAAGTAGTCCATAAAACTCTGTATACTCTGGCAAGGACAGCAGGAGCAAGAGCAAGCCTCTGTCGCTCCGACAACTGACTAGCTGCTAGAAGGATGCTACACCTCAAAGACTCCATCCTGAGCGGAAGCACGAAGGTGCTGAGCCAAAGCGCTAAAAATCCTGCTAGCAGTAAGTCCTCGTCAACACCTGGTAAAGTTGGAGAAACAAGGCTAGTGGAAGGAAAATGCTCGACAGTCTCCTCTGTCAACAAAGTGCTGCGCTGTAACCCAAAGTCAAATGGGTCGTGTAGTGATGCAGCTGCTGGAAACAAGAACCTCTCTTAGAGGAAACTACTAACCCAAACACCTACAGCCATAGTGGCCTGAGAGCGCATATGCAAACCTCGTGCTGACCGAAAATCCTGACGGTAGTGCTGAAGAATCCTATGGTAAACATCAGGTAGTGCCAACCTGCCTCTCCTATCGCCGTCTACTGAAGGAACTCTATGAAACAACTGCTCATCCGGAGGTACGCACTCCTCAAAACTGTGTCCAAAAACTGGAAGCCCGGAAACCATTTGTAAATCTAAAAGAGTAACTGTAAGCTCCTCTGCCCCAATCCAACAAGTATTGCGACTAGCGTCCCAAAACTCAACCAGACCCCGGGCCCAAGAAGTAGGAAGACGCCCGTAGTCGAACAGCGAGATATACACTGCCTCGTAGATCCCAGCAGCCCGAAGAGTCTTCCTGTGTGCCTGAAGTACATAGCGAGCCCAGGAAACATAACCACTGACGGGGCTCTGAATCTGTCCAACTGCTGAGTCCCTCGGCCACTCTAAAGGGGGTGACG